TTTTCTAATGCTTATCATTTTCATGATAGGCTATAACAGGTAACATCACATGGTAATTCATTAATTACACATAAAAGTGGAGTTAATCTTTTTGTTTCTTGCAAGGCATAAATAAGCAGTTTTTTTTTTCCTGAAGTCTTTCCACTTGTCTCTTAATTGTTGGTTATGGTTGACACAACATAATAACATGACACTGTTCTTGAAGGTTGGCTGATCTCTACTGAACAAAAGAAACTCAAGGTATAATTTTAAGTGACATTGGTCACAAACCTTTAAACTTGCTCTTTATTGCATTACGATGTATCAGTAAAGGATCAGAGCCAAGTCAGCCCAAAGATTTAGGCAATTGTTCTTCAGTGTGCTTCAGAAATACAGCAGATCACCAACTACTGTAGTGTCTGACAATTTAAAATCATCAAATTACTATTTTTTTGCTTTTACTGAAAACCCCCTAGATTTGCACTATATTTACTGAAGCAATACAAGTTATGTACCTTACTTAAGGGTAAACCAGCAGCATATCACCTAGGTTTAGAGTCCACAACCTATGGTTTTAGGGTCTAGAGGCCTATCCACTACACCACACTCCTATTTCTCACACTTAAAATTAATTTTCTTTGACTAAATACAGTTAGGTTTCATAATCCTGACAATCAAAACAATGCTCTGAAGCACAAATGATAAATTCACAAACTACTGAGAGGAATATGCTCAATAACACTTGAAGGATGGTTCTACTTTTAAGCTTGTAACTGTATATACTGTAATGTATTTTGTCTTAATAATACACTTCATCAGAGTTCTCTCATTTGTAAACTGCAAGAGTTTAGAGTATTAACAGAAAAACTAAACTCCTACATGTATATTTAATATACTGTGAGGTCAAAGGCTCTGGAACTAATAAAATAATACTAAAACAACTAAATAATGCAAGAGTTAAAGAAGCGAGGATACAGATTATTACATATGGAATAGCTATACAAATAAAGTGCCATTAAAGGTTTTTACTGACTCTCTAGAGCTTCTAATCTGGTAAAAGAAACATCATAATGAATTAAGTTAATCTATATACTTTTGTGACAGAGGTGGAAATTAATTTAAAACAGATTATATGATCTGAGATCAATCTGTGTTTATTAGGTCAGAGCTTTTAGTCTCTAAGGCCATTAACTAAAACAACTCTGGAGATGCATACACAAGTACACATGCAACTAAATACATTACAAGAGCTGAACAATTAACCACCGTGCATAATAAATAACACAGTCCAAGTGCTTAAACTACATAATATTCACTTTTCCCAGCTGTTTCCAATTGCTTGTTTTCTTTTTCAGACATGCCCTTGCTTTGCTCCAGAAATCATTTTCAAGTGTCAAACCATCATATTGTTGGTTATGCTGGCAATTATTGAACATGTAGGCTGACACATTATGCAACAGATGTTGATTTCAAGTTTTTTTGAAGTATAATCTTAATATATTTATATATATACTTAAAGAACACTGCTTTGCAGCATATTTGCAAATGCCGACTTTGCCAGGTGTAACTGTTACTACAATAGGTTGTACAAATTAAGAATAATGGGGTTTGTAACAGGAGTGCGAGCTGAATTTGCTTTATGCCGAGAGGTGTAAAAAATGGCCACCTCCTGGAAATTTGTGGGGCAGTGCCCTTGGAAAAAAAGTGCAGTGGTTGATTATACTTAAGGAAACAATGGCTGTAAAGTCATTGAACTGCAACATTGGACAAAAGGGACCCATTACTTATCCACCTTTGTCTGGATGTGAGAACAGTTGTAAGACAAGGATGGATTTGCAGTTTTTTTTTATTTCAATACATTAACAAAAGCAACACGACAACTGTTTTGTCTTCCTATGGTTGGTTTTCATTACACTCCTTTGGTGGTCTGAAACTGCCATTACTACAGATGTTAGTAATGGTGTTACTACCATTTTAGGACAAGCGAAAACAGCATTTGGAGAGATAGTTAAGACATGCTGTCCCACACAGCAAAATAAATGTTTGATTAAGGGTTCAAAATAAATCCAGTTACAGAAAATACACAATCATTATCAGAGAATCTTTGCGACAGTTATACCCCACAGCAGCATGAGTTATTAAAAGTTCATCTTTGCTCTTCTGACTGAAGAAAGTTAATGATCAAAAATCTCAGAAGGTAGTAATAGCATTTTTAGGTAATACTGTATAACCTAAACTGTTAAATATATACTTTTCCATTTTATATAAAAACGTTTTCGGATGTTCTTCTCTCTTAAAAAGCTCTCTTTTAATAAAGCTATACTGTACAGTAGCCATAGTTGAATGCATTAAGTTATGCATTCAATCCCACTCTTAGACTGTATCAATGAGCTGCTCATCTTGATGTGAACTTTGGCAAGCCAGATCCTAGACAGGAAGCCAGTCCATCCCCAGGGGAAAACAATCTATTTACCATATAAAGAAAATCATTATAGGACTATGTATATACAGTACTAATTATAGGAAAGTTATGACCAGCCTTTAAATATTGGGGAATGCAATTAAGCACTAATGAAAAGTCTTTTTGTCGATTGTCCTATACTGTAGGTTAGGCAGCTGGAATAAGTCACAGTGTAAGAAACATGTCATTAACTATACATAATGCAAAAACACTTTGATAATATGTTATGACTCCCTTCTTGTTGTTAGATTCACTTCTAGCATTTGTAATTTAAGTAAAGGATTCCCATACAAGAAGTCATGCCCTCTATTTCGGGATTAGTTTCCATAATTGGATTGCTGTCACTGTTCACTAGCAGTGGGATTTGGGCTGCCTAGGTAGAGGTAGGCATTGTTAAGAGTTCTGTTTCTTCTGCTTAGCCAACTCTATTCTTGCTATTGATTCCTGCTGCCTGTGCAAATTGAAGATTTTTTTAAAACAGTTGCAAGAATAACATCCATTTTAAAAAAGGCTACCTTACTGCCTCAATAAAAAAAAAATTGATAAAGACATCATAAAAACGGTGGATCAGATTTAATAGCACATCATATACAGTATAAGAGTATTTAAACACCACTGAGTTAAAAGTAAAGCTCTCGTCTAGTTGAGTCTAAGAGTTTTTGCTTTTGTATCCATGGAAATACAGTAAGATTTCCTAACAAAAAGCTGCTGCCCTTTAACTACAAAACAATGTAAATTGCAAATATATCAAACAATAAAACCACATTTTGTGTTTAAGGATGAAGAGATGCCCCTTTAGACTATTAATTAATTATCATGAAAATAACTCGGATAGACAACTATTTTAACTTCACTGAAATTACGACTTAATAATAATAATAATTACTTATTATTATTAATAATAATTTCTTCTGTTCAAAGAAAGCTTTTTATTATATTTTTTGTTGATTATAAAATACCTAATACAAAATAAATGACTTAAATTTAATAAATTAAATTACTTATGTTTGTTCAGGGCTTTGTAATTCATACTTCAGTTAATAAATGGAAGACCACTTCATCCCATGCTGCTATGCACCTTAATTAGGGCATAAAATACCCTAATTATAAATAAAATGTAAAATAACAAATATATTTGTAAAGTACACAGCAAGTTCCATTTTCATGTATTTTATGTCTTTCCCCTTTATTATGAACTCAGACTGCTTGCTGTGAAGAAACAGTTAATATCGCCCAGAAAATGTTCTTTAATTAAAGTTAACAAGCAACAGAGACTATCAATTATAATTAAAAGCTGCAGTTAAAATAAAAAAAAATATAGAAATTACAGCTTTTCTTCCACAGATGTCACAGTACAAAATACCTTTCTTGTGAGAATGCATGCAAATGAAATACAGGATAGTAACAAACATCTGCCAGATTATGAATGGATTCTAAACGCAGGGATATTTGAGCCAGGAGACTTATTTTAATAATCCCTACAAGAAATGTAGTGCTGAGAAAGCAGTATAACTCGTACTATGTAAAACAATTAATTCCAATATGTTTTGAGATTCATACAGTATTATCATTCATTTACTGTATATCACTCACTTAAAACAGTAATCACGAGAGGTGTTTCAAACAAGACAAATTGTTTAAAATGTCATCCATTCTTAGTGAAAGACAGCCCTCTTCACTTTTGGTGAAAACAGACTCCTGTGGTTTGCAAGACTGCAAGACTCTCAGTAAGAGAAGTAGCACTTCTCCAGTTGATGCTACCTATGCTTCAGGGCAGTGAAATATTGGCTGCACATCAAAAAATGTACAATTCTTACAGGTAAGAATGTGGGAAGAGAAGATATAGACTGGTTTTCATTCTCTCCTTGAAAAGCAAAAGTTGTTGTCATACAGCTTAAACATTTTACAGTTCAAAATTTGGGTGGGTATGTAATAATCACATTAATAAGTATAAATTAAAATATAGAGATATTTATCTTTTGAATGAACATTACTTATTTTCATTGCACTTTTAATTAGTGTTGAATAGTCATGCACCGTTAAATATGTTCTGCTCATTCCATCCAAGAAACCACCTCTATGGCATGCTGGATAACCTGTTTAATTTTTGCTCTATTAATAGTAAAATATCTCTGTTAAATAAGCTGTACGCTTAACAAAATAAATTTGTTAGGAATGGTAGTTATGGCTCTGGAAATGTGTCAGGTGAGGGTCTCCTGTTGTATCCCTGTGTAAAGTACAGTACTTTAAACATGTAAACATGCACCTGTGACTGCACTCCTCAAACATACAGTACATTCTGTAACACCATTTGTAAAAAAAAATATATTTGATAGGTGCAAATGATCCTTTAAATGGTATCAAACCAACCAAAAGGACTTACAGACAGCTACGCCTCATTTTATGTTGTGTAGAAACAGTACAATGAGTAACAGCATAATATAAAGTGGTACTATATGTACTGTATAATGCCAAGTATCACAAAGAAATATTGAAAATGAGTAGTGGATAAGAAAAGTGAATTTAGAGTTGAAAATGATAAATAAATCGAGGTGTCTACCTTTGCTGATGTCCTGGTACTCCACCCACAGTTGCCTCTGGGCTTGTCTATTTGGGTACCAGATATTACAAGATTCTTCAAATCCATACACAGCCTCTTGGATGAAGTGGTTCCCAAACTCCTTCAGAATGGCCACAAAATCACTTCTGAGTGTCGCACCATCCAGGGAGTGCACTGCAGAGCTGAATGCTACAAGGAATCAAACAACTTGCATTTAACAATCTCAAGCATACATAAATCTGTCAAATTTGTAGCACCTAATTTTTATGGGCAATATCAAAACTTATCTTGTATGTCAATATGTCATGGTGACATGGAATACCTTCATTGTAAACTGCCTGTCCTGATAATATATTTTATTATAGGTTTAAAATGTTTTTATAGTTGATTTGAAGTGTTTAATTAAATCATAAAACAACACAGAACAGAAGCAAAATTAATTCTAAATACTAACAAAACCATTATGTCAAATTCATTTTATATCACTTCTAAGAAGTGTTGCTCATGCCATTTTCCATAATAATCCCTTACACTTACAGCATATAATGCTTTTATGGACACTCCACTCAAAACCCTTCAAATGTGACAGGGGCTCCACCAGCAATACGTAGTCCCCACCTGGATGATGTGATGGCTGCCAAAGTGTGCCAGTACGCTCACCACACACCAGCTATCAATGGGGAGAAGTATTTAATTGACATATAAATATAATATATGTTTGCTATCAATATCTATATTAAAGAATACTAATACTGTCACCTGAAAACTCTAAATAACTACTGGTCTTGTCAGTACAAAACTGTGGAAGTAATGGCAAATTGCTATAAACTACTGAGGTGTATAATAAAAGTCTGGAAGGACCCAAATTTCTACTAATCACTAGGAAATAAATATGGGCTAGTAGACCATCATTTCCACTGTTTGCCCTGTCTATTATTCTCATTGTCACTGCCAACACAGCAACCCTCCAGTTATTATAGTGGTTTCTGACTGCTTCATCCATAGGCCAGGCAGTATTCTCTGAAACCAAGCCATTTCATATCAATAAATGCTCAAACCAAATATATCAATAAATGCAGTTTCTTAATTATAATTACATTACTAATGGTGGTCTGTCTCTTGTGAATTTAAAACACTTGTAAAATTGGTTTAGAACTACAAAATAAATCTTTTCATGCTGTACTTCAAGATTCTTCTCTCTTGTTTACAACTTCACATTGTGTTTTTATTTTCGTTCTCCCTTTGGGAAAATGTGGTATGTCCTTCATTGCGTTAAACATTCCAATTATAATTTTATGGCAAGAGATAGCTAATTACACATCATGACCTACTCCTACACAGCAGGCATGCAGTGTGAAGAGAAAATACAGCATAATGAAACAATACTGGAAAACAGGTGGAACAGAAACAAGGCAGTCAAGACACTCATTAAGAAAGATGAAGCTACAAGATCTGATGCTAAATCAGTAAAAATGAAACGTTAAATAGACAAGCTGGGTTTTAGAGCACTACAGAAGCTAATGGAAGAGAGAAAATAGATTTTAAAAAGCGAGCAAAGATATTTTTTGAGAGGGAGCTCTAAGTGAAGTAGAATAAAATAAGAGCAGAAAGGACATATCAACTTGATCAGCACCTCTGCGTTCCCATATGCATTTCCATCATGCTCCTCAGAAAGTTGTTTTAATGTAGCTAAGGATTTTGAGGATCAATAAGGGTCAATTAGTGAATCCTGCAAACATAATATCCATTACCTTGTTTAATTTTATTTTATTATTTCCATATCTTTGAGGGAAAAAAATAATCCTCCGGCAATATGCTGACTGATAGAACCAACACTGAGATTGTTCTTGAGATCAATGCTTTGGAAAACAAACAAAACAATATTAAACACAAAAAAAAACATGATGAGTAAAAGACAGGTCTAGATACTGAAACAGCCTACATTGCAACTGTGTGACAGAGCCCAGAGAGCTGATATTCCCTTAGTAACCAGATAAGTAATTGGTTGCAGAGCCATCACAACACAAAACCTTTAAGGGATGATCTTACAGTGCGAAACTGTCATGGCAGGGCCTGTCAAATACAGGAGGTTTGGTTTTAGTGAGATATTAAGCCACATGAAGTTGACAGCTTATTAAACCAAAGTAAGTGGCTATACCAAATCAGGGCTGAGTGATGGAAACACAGTCCGCCAACGACGGGCCCCAGGCTAGGTCACATGACCAAACTTCATTTTGCTCCAAAAACATGCGGCTCGACTCGAACGTTAATGATGTTTTAAACTAACACTACAGCTAGCTCACCTAAGCAAGAGGAATAGGGGAAGAGTGGGAAGAGTTCCTTAACTTCCAAGGAAAACTTGGGCCTGTGTTAATCCCTTTAGAGCAAACAAGACAAGTTTGAGTTCGCAGTGCTTACCTTGCGAGAGAGCCCACTGATTGAGTTTTACGTGGTACAAAATGGATCTTAGCCTCCACTGCTGAACCAGGGGGTAGCCTGACACTTCACTGTAATTGACCATACCTACAGAAAAAAAAGCAGTCAGATGTTAAATGTTTATTTGCCTGTTCTGGCTGAAAGTCATATTAAGGTGAAAAACAAAACTGTTTGCAAACTGGGTTTTTGATGTTTTAACAAAAGATGCATAACAGAAATGGGACTGATGTTTATGGTGCAAGAGAACAAAAACATATGAAAAATGGCCCATTGGTAACTGATATTTGTTCAACAGTACCATTAACATCAATAATCAGCAGTGCAATTCTCACTAATGTGGGATATTTAACTTGATCTTGGAGAAGGTCTGCAAATGCATAGTATCTACTATGGTAGATAAAAAAAAGCACTACACAGTGTGCATGATGCAGTGGCATCACCATACAAAACTGGAGAATAATACAGTCCTGATGGACTAGTTTGTACATGTGTGAGTTGAAAGAGATCATTAATGATAACATTTTTCATTATAGAGGAATATTTTAATAAAATATGGTGGCGCATGTATCACACCAACAACAAATTGCATTCATTCATCATCCTAAAATTTCCTGGCAGACTAGCAATTGCACTATTGTCCTTGTGGATATGTGGTATGTTTATACCCTCAAAACCACCATATGTATTATCTGATAAAGCCATACATCATCACATCTCCTATGGTAACTGTCAGAAATATGAACTATGATTAGAAACACTGTAGATTACGACATGTATCTCCATATAGGAGGAAAGGATCTGTTCCGAAATAGCCAAATTTAGCAGATGGTACTCACATGAGAACAGAAGAATAACTTTTTATTACATTAAAATTCAGAAAATAGCTACGGTTGAATGCACCAGTTATAAAACACTCATTATGACACAGAAACCTTGAGCATCATTGCCACATAATGTACTACAGTTATTGTATACACTAAGAGAAACAAATAATAGATAAAGGATTAACAGACATGCCATGGACAAATAAAAATGTGATAACCTGTCATACATTCTCTGCTGCTTAACACATTGAGCTCTTTTGACTGCAGCACATTTTAACACTTAATTAATGGTTTTAATTGCATTAGCAAGGCAAACAGCTAAGGAAGTACAGTATATTTAGACCATATGCTTAGATGCTGTTAAACCTACATCATATGACCGAATTGAGCTCATTTTTCCAAGTCTCTACAGTTTCTTTTTTTTATGCTACTGATCTTCCTGGAGGTCTACAGAGTAAACAGGAAAAGAAAACCAAAATGCAGATAGAACATATATTATCAAGGTTATTATTGGAACTCAACAAATATCTCAATCTGTCTTAACAACAGTATCTTTCTGTACTGTAATGTAAAAAGTATCCAAAGACTTGACAAATGAATGCAATAAAAAAATCTAGTTTTCTATTACATTATTCATGACCACTGTATGCTTATTTATTTAAAATTTTATTCACAAGGAAAGATAAACTCTTGAGATCTCATCTTCATTTGAATTGTCCTGAGGGAAATGAACAAGTGCTTTCATACAGGTTTCAATTCATAGATAGAAACATCTGTAAAGAAGTAATTAAATATGAATAACATTTTTCACAGCATCAAATGCTATCATATGTGACACTTACACTGAAAATAATGTGATCCAATCTTCAAGCATATTCTTACCTAAAAACTTCATTTCCCTAACAAATAACCTCTTTGAAAAAATCTTACTTCAGTTTCTAATATATTTATAACCAATACAAATCTAATTTGTACACCGAGTGCATTCTACACAACCAAAATAGACAACTTCTATTTTTGTATGTCTACATCAGATTTAAAATACTTTATTTTGCTAATAATCTTCTAATAACTGCTGTACTAAATGAATTTCCAAGATATTATCCTCACTGTCACCACTCATTACTGTATATTACATCAATTTCCCTTTGGGATCAATAAAGTCTTATCTATCTGTATGGTATACATTATACATTTTATGTATTTATACAATTTTATGTTTTTTTTCTTCAAATCATGTAAAAAGAGACCCAAACCAAAATATAAGAGGGAAATGTTTCTCACAACATACATTTTAAAGTATACTGCAAATACCAATACGATTTTTCTGATAAACATGCTTTGAATTGCTAATGAAAAAATCTTGAAAGTATTACACTAGTTATTTACACATCTTAATTTATAAAAACATGTAACACTCAAAGCACACCCTTGACACCAGAAGAAAACAAATTTACTTTTTCTGTTGTTTTTTTTACGTTAGGCTAGGGAAAAACACATACTGTACCAGCAGCATTACTGTACAATTCTGTAGCTAAAGTTGCAGATTATTTAAGTATTTACAGTTATTTGTAGGTGAAGGTCAATTTTGACTGCCAGTCAGTTTTTATAGAAATAACTACTGTACTCTAGACAGATAATACTCTCCTATGGTGATGTTTTCTAAGAGTGCAAATTCTGAATCAGAAGACATAAGCTTGTCTTGCCCCAATGGACTTTTGTGTTCTCATTGGCTGACAGAATGATTAATAAGCTGCCACTTCACACTGCGAACACCAGTACAGTGTCTCCAGCCATCTCTAAGCAACTACAAGGTACACAAAGCAACATATTTTACTAGGGATAAGAAAGGGGTTTGCAACAGCAGGTCACAAATAACCCTCCTCGGACCTCCTGCTGTTCCCCATCCTTCAGCGATGACCTGCCTGACCAGGACTGCCATGTTCAAGATCACTAGGTACTGTAAGAAGACTTCAATAAGCCTTTATTTTCAGAGGCAATATCTAGACCTTGGTGTTTGCTACTGTAGGTGCCAAACTTTGGTATGATTTAGAAACCTGACAATTTTACTGATTACAAATGCAGATCATTGATATAAATTACAAAGAACAGTGGTTCTAATGCAGATCCCTGTGGTACTAATTACTGTACATCATTCCAATTGGAGCACTGACCCCTTATCTGTACTCTCCTTCTTCTACGTATTAAAGTGTTCACTAGCCAAAAACATACATTTCTTTGAAACTAAGAACCTGGAATTTGAAAATGACAAACTATCAAAAGCCTCCTGAAAATCTAAATATGCCACACCATATGCTCTGATTGTAAAACATTATTCCTGTCTAAATCTAACAGGAAAGTTAAACAAGACTTACTTTTTCTATAACCATGCAATTTCCCTGAATCTTATTTCCATACAGTTTATTCTCCAGTTTAGTTCTGATTATTGTTTCCATAGCTTTACATGTAATCATGTAAAGTCAGACTTATTGGTCAATAATTACTTGGCTCTGTCTACTATAGTTTTGTAAGCCCATGGATAGCCAACACATCAGCAAATTTCCAGTTACTATCACCCCTGCTTTTAGTCAAAGTATTTCTTATTTCTCCAAGTCCAGTTGGTATGATGCTTGGTAAAATGCGTATATCTCAAGTGATCCTACTGTAGAACCTTTAAACGTTCTCTCTTACAGTATATGCTAAAACTGCAATATTAATTTACTCTAATGTGCAACACAATGTCAGGGTTCTGCATTAAAAACAAACAATCTAATTTAAACCATGTCTGGGGTGATCATTTTGAGAGCAATCATCACAGGCTCTGCACCGAAGTTCTTCTGATAACATTTAAACAACATCCAGGATGTTCAGTACACTATGTTGCTCAGATATTCTCTCATTTATAAGGCCCAAGGAAAGAACACTGCATATCTGGAAGTGCACCAGGTACCTCAGTGATTTTGTGGTCACCGTACAGCATGTTGTGACTTTAATTACGTGGGAAGAGGGAAATAACACATGGAACACTATAAATCATTGTATGTTCATAGGTATTCTGTTCTGTGCATTACTAACAGTCAACAAAAGTTACATTTAAAGTTGTGAGCCAAAAAAAAAGTTTATTAAGTAAACTGGGAATAGACTCTCTCTTTAACAAGACAGTAGCTCATACATTCAAAATCAATATCCTCAGCTTTTCAATTCTTAATAGATTACTCTTCTGTAACAGAGATTCTTGGTTTTTGTTTCCTTATTTTTGTGCACTTTATCTTTCACAATCAAAGCTACTGTATTTTGAAGAACACTGCCTCTCCAAACTAAAACCAACAACCTGAAATGAAGATACCTATTTTGGCTATGATGAAATAAAACACCTAATTAGGATGTTCCTTAACGAGGATGGACCCCTGCTGGGACTCCCACAGTATTAATTATCACGTTTAATGTAATTCATTAATTAATTGACATTTAGTACAGGAAAAACCAGCTAGTGCATTTCAATGCAATTAATCAGTGTCAAAGAAGACATCAAATCCCAATATTACCTACTTTGAAGGTCGCTTCCAAATCTGAATTTTAATGGTCTTGTTCTTCCCTTCTGTTTTATTACAACAGTGATATTTTAGATACACTCTAGATATGCTTTCATTTATTTAAAGTGCACTCTTATATAAAGCAGCCCATCCATACCGTACTGCATAATTTCACACTGAATACAAAAATAAAGAACACTTTTCTCTCATGTTTAAAAATAATAATAAACTGTACTTACAACAGTTTTTTTATTTGGGAGAAAGATAAAGGGAATGTGACTGCAGAATGGTAGGGAAAAGATTGAAATACTGAGCAATCTACTTTGCATTATTGTACATTATGATGAAATGACTTGATGTGATATTGCTGTAATAAGCAAAATAAAGGCTGGAGCAAAAGAAAATGCATGGACAGCTGTTTTTTGATTGAACAGTAAAATCCTAATTAGCCATACTGATTGAGAATAAGATTTTCTCATGTTAAAAATCAAGTTCAGATAATTTTGAGACCTACAGTAAGAATATAATTTGCCTTACGGAACTCAACAATTAGCTGTGAGCATTTTATAACGGACACAAAATATTGCAAGATAGAGTGGTGGCAGTGTCTTGGTGATCTCAGAGTTGATTCTTCCCACAGTTTAACACAGATGCAATGCTAAAGCAAATATTGATATCAAATATACAATGTTTGGATTAAAAAATACTGACTGATTAGCCAGCAACCACA